ACACACTATAGAACAAGCTACCACGTGATTGTTTCCCAAATGGGTATAACCTTAAACTTTTGAAGTCTTTTTGGCATATATAACTCAGATAAAATAAATTCACTCTATTTGGATACATTTTGTATACATTAAACATTGTATTGAAATGAAAGGTATTATGACAATGTGCTTTGTATTTTACTTATAATGTCAAATTACACTTTTATTGACAATGACAATGAAGTTTGTTGCATATTCATGCCCCATTTAGGCTAAATACAGTAAATAAGGTAGCTTCAAGAGAGTAAAATATCAATGGTTTATTTGTAATGAAACAACAAGAAGCATTAATTTTCCAGTCGGCCAACTAAATTACACAGTGTCACTCCTTTACATATTGTACTTAAAGTCACAATTCTTATTACACTAAAAATACCCAGACAAAACTATACATAATAGGGAAACTATGCTATGTTTAATATACCTAAGATCTATTACCTAAAATATACAATTACCTAAATTATAGTATAATTTCATGCTTCTCTCTTCTTGAGATATTTGTAGACAAATTTACACTTTTCCATTGCATTGTATACAGTAGTTTACTGATTAAATTATCTATCTGTATATCTATCTATATTCCTACTCATGATCAATATATAATAACATCTTTTGTAATATGATTGTACATATGTCTGTTCTAACTGTATCTATTAGTGGCAAACTTTGATTTTAATTGTTTTCTAAGTCAGGACTCTTTAGGCTGGGATCTTGGACAGTTTATCTAAAGCTGAATTATTTTGCACCAGATTAAGAGTTTCCTGTGCTAATATAGTATACTAAAAAGCTTTATATTGAACAACAGAGTTTGCAAATTGATATTCTTACAGATTGGTTTAGACTAAATTGTTTGCTTTGAAATTTATTATCGCTTCTTTAAGACTCAGAAGTTCTGGAATATGATGACTTTGTGCTCCCAATGATCAGTTACTACCAGCTGTCCATGTGTTGCCATGGCAACAGCCATTGGCCCCTTCATGTCTGTAGTGATGTGTTTGAGGAATTTTCCTGTCTTGTCAAACATCTCCACACGGTCATTTCCCCAGTCTGCCACGATGATGTTCCCTGCCTTGTCTGTACAGATGCCGCGGGGAGAGTACAGCTGACCTTCACCACTTCCCCTGCCTCCAAACTGGAACAGAAACTGTCCATCCTCCTTGTACACATAGACACAGTGATTCTCCCAGTCTGCCACAAGAATGTTCCCTTTCCCATCCACAGTGATGTACCATGGGTACTTCATCCCCTGCTGCTGACCGCCAGTTCCCACAAGTGTTCCATCTGGCCTGAAAACCAAAACTTCACCATGTCGGTTGAACCTGCCTCCTGTGGTTTGTGTGATGAAGATGTGGTTCCTCCTGGTGTCCACGGCAACTCCTCTGGCCCACCCTGTCGCCTGTAGGTCAATCTTCCTCAGCACACTGCCCTGTTTGTTGTACTGCACAGCAAACTTAGCAGAGTCAGCCCAGCCCACCACCCACAGGTTCCCCTCCCCGTCCAGGGCCACATCTGTTGGTCCCATCTCCAATTCACCTGACACGACTGTTGGGAACTGTCGGACAAACGTTCCCTGCAGGGTTAAGACTTGGATTCTATAGTTCTCCCCATCTGCTACAAAGATCTCCCCTTCTTTTGACACTGTAACACTATTTGGACTATCGAACTGTCCTGGTCCTGATCCCCGTCCACCAAATGTCACCTTCTGAGGCAGATGCTCCTCTTGCCTTTGGTTACCATGGTGATGACCTGTGCCCCTTGCTGCAGGTGCTGCTGGGATAGGTGCAGATGGGAGAGACTGGACCGTCACATGTCCCAATACTGGCACGGGGGTGTCTGTGGGCTGAAAGACAGCAGGCTGGGTTTGTACAGGAGTTGGTGCTGCTTTCCTCTGTACTTTCCTACCACCTCTGTCATAGCGGTTTGCTGACTGAGAATCTCGACCCCTCCCTGCTGCAGTTCTTGTTCTGCTCGATCACAGGCAGCAGACAGTTCATTGACATCTGCCAACACTCGGTCCCTTTCAGTCTGTATTTTCTCCAAGTTTTTCGNGTGATTTTGTCCACTTTTGCCAAGNGTTCGTTGTAAGCCTGAGTGATAGCATTGTCTGTCTGCTGTTTTTGTCATTCAGGATTTTCNCAGTCTCTCTCAG